GAAGAAGGGAGCGATCCTGAATTATGGTTAAAAATGGGAGAAGGATTGGAGCTTTCAGGACCCCAGAAATGAAATAAAGGGTAAAGGAAAAAGAGAAAAATTATGAGGAGGGCGGCTTTCATATGGGAGGGAGAGAGATAGGTGGACATGAGACTAAACCAATGAAAGATTTTCAAGCCGTTAAAATTACAGTCTACTTGTCTATGATAGGGGAGAAATAAAGATAATAGAGGGAATAAAAGATAAATAGACAAGAAAGACCGGATGACGAAGCAAAATTAATTTGCCGGAGTGGCAAAGCGCAGGAACGAAACGAGGATAGGAAAACCGCCAGCGCGCCGCTAAGAAAAACGCCGTATGAACATTCGAGAGTTGCCAAATTTCCTCCCATAAAATGTTTACTTTAGCGAGAAAATACGAATATTTTTCCTCGATATTTTCAGGTGCTTTGGAAGAAATTGCGAACAAATCATCTGAAAAAATCGAGGAGAAAAATCGAAAGTTTACAAAGAAATTCGTGTTTAATCAAACGAAATTCGGCAACGTTTGAAGGTTCATACGGTGTTTTTCCTCGCCACGGGAGAATGGGCCAGGTGGCCGGGAGTTGGGGCAAGACAGGACGAAGACAAAGTGCGAGATTTCTTCCAAACTCACCTAGATATTTCTTGCTGGGTGTTCTTCTCGCCTTCCACCGTGAACGGGGAGGCACCGGTGAGCAGCTCGTAGGTGAGAACGCCAACACTCCACCAATCAACGGCCTGCAACAAAGAGATCCGAAATTAGACTATGCAGCGAAAAACAGAGCCAGAGACAGGCGTGAAATGAAAAATATAAAAGATTGGACATTTCCGTGAAATACATCAAGAAATTTCACGAGACTGTGAAAAATTTCGTATTCTTCAGGGGTTAGAGTATGCAACCCGCACTCGAATACACAAAAATAGAAAACAGACACAATTTTTACATTTTGCGAATTATGAAAAGGAACTCGTATTTTGCAATATTTTTTATAAATTCTGAAATTTCATGTAACATTTCAAAATTTTATTTTTCATGAAAAATTGTAACCCTGGCCAGAAAAAGTAATACCTCATTGCAAAATTTAGTCCGTTTCTACATGGTTTTCTTTGAATAAATACGATTATATACACAGCCACATAGTCCGGGACTGCACTTCGGTCAGATTTTCCCGTTCCAACTTGGCAAACACAGCTTGGTGTAATTGAATAGTTGCATAAGACTTTTCGCGCTCGAGGCGAGGCATTTTGGCGACAGCCGCCACCCCCCCCCCCCNTCTTCACGCAAGACCGCACTGCGAATCAATCGTGAGGCCAGGCCGCATTAAAATGATATCAGTCCGGACTCCTATCGGCTCATTTGGCGAGCCAATCGACGCTGGGCCGGTACGTTTCGCACGGCGTAAACTGCGGCTGCACTGGACGCAGTTAATAAAATCGAACAGGACCGAGCACTGTTCGAAAACTTGTGCGGAGCCTTCAAAACTGAGTACATTTTCAGCACCTTTTCATTAAGATGTTCGGTCGATTAAGTTCCAAAAAGTTCGATTGATTTCTCCAAAAAATAAAGTGAACATTTTGATGTAGAGGTGGACTCATAGGGTAGCGTGGGATATCCCCTCCGTTACGGCCTCAACTTGAGAGCTTTTTTCTAGCTTGGGAGTTGATTTCAGAGAAAACCAGTAGCACAACCGTATTTTTCGCAAAATTCTACACAGGAATCAGTATTTAAATCGCAAAATCCTCACACGTGCAAAAGCTCCATTGGGTCTCTCATTGGTCGCATCCTCACCTCAGGTCTTCTTCCACCAATCAGAGCTTCAGTTTGATGGCTCAATTTGATCGTGCAACTGAACCTTCAGCACGGCGCATGCGCGCTAACAAAGCGCGCTATCGCGTTATCGCCGCGATTATGTCGGACGACCTCCAAACCTTTGCGTTCTGCGCTGGCGGCCGTGGAAATGCTCGCACGACTCCGATCCTGACGATCAGATTCGAAACCGTTACTCGAAACTTGAACTTGAATTCGATTCGCCATGCAAATGCGGCTGTGTTTACTTAGCAACCGGGCGAGATGGGAGTTGAGTGCCGAGTCGATTTCTAGAGCTCACAAATCGACATAGCCGCGCTCACCTTCAGGGCGAGCCGCTGTTGCCAGATAGTGCTGAAAAATCAGCATATTTGCCCGTGCAACCCATGTAAAATATCCATATTTTACCGTGCAATCTGGCAACCTTGAACCGAGCGAAAGTGAAACGCCGATCAACCGACGGTGTCTCCGCTTGAGAAGCATCTTCTCTCGGCAAGCAACGTGGAGGTTTGCGCTAGTTCGGCGGTACAGCCACAACATTTGCCTTCATTTTGTTGGGTATGCAACAAGGCCTACTGCGAGTTAAAATGGTCCTGCGGAGAGGCAAGTTCCCTCGAATTTTATGCATAGTTCCAGAGTTATACATAATATTAAGCTACATTGAGGTGATATTTTTGAGCAAACTTTATGTCACTAAAGGAAATGTTACTTGGTTTAAGGATCCTTAAATTCGCTGCCATGAAGATGTTTTCGTGGGTAAAGAAGGAAAATACCTTATCAAGGCGGAATAATACGCATATCAAGGAGAAAATCGGTCGAATCAAGGATGATTTTGCTTGATATAATGATGATTTCAAGAAAAAATTTCCTTGGCATCAAAAATATTTTTGCTTCCGTCAAGTCACTCTTTTCTGCTCGGTTCAGACGAAGCATTTTCGCCATATTTTGGCCGCAAGAATTTCGAAAACGAGGAAAACAGACCGAAAAGCATGATCTTTCGAATCAACTTGGCTTCAGTTTTGTCGATGGCAGCAAAATATCTAAAGCGCGATCTGTAATGAAGATCGATGACATGTAATTCATGCAGATTTTAAAATCCGGTTTTGACAGCGGAATATTTCAACCTGCGGACGGAGCGTCGCATCACTTATAATCGAGCTTTGGATTTAGATCTTCGATACGTATCAAAATTCGCTTTCAACTCTGAGAAAATTGTGATTATTTCCTGAGAAAATCCTAGGTTGCTGGATACCCGACGATCGATGCAGAACACCACGATTTCAGTTAATCCGACCGATCCGAGTATTTTTTTCCTCCGGTATCGAACCCCGTACAAATCGCAAGCATCTCGAAAATCCACTTGCGCAATTTTTAGGCGCAAAAGAATGGGTACGGCGTGACCGACGGAGGTCACCGCGATTAGAGCCCCNGGGGCACTCATTGCAGTTGCAGTTTGCACGGCGCAATTATTACGGGCCGCGACCTTGCGCGAACAAAAGCAAGGCACAAGGAAAGATCGCTCCGACACCGCCACCGACCGTACGGCACGCGGTTACACCATCTTCCTGCTCTTCTCGAAATGGGACACAGAGTTGCAAGGGGGGAGGGGAGAGAAAAACGGTGGCAGAGAATCGTCGGAGGAAACAAGACTGATTTCCTCGCCAGTGAAGGCAGTGCCGAATGCACTTTTGTCGTGCTAATAAGGAGGAATGCCGCAGTGGAGTTGCGTACTTCGCGATATATCGATTGATTGATCTGCCATTAATACCTATGGAAAAGGATCGATGAACAGAGTTTGCGACGAAAACCTTAATAATCGACCTTCTGCCATATTTTCAAATGGGAGAGATATCGATAATCGGATTACTTTAGTCGATTTTGCAATCTTGGAATGAAGTTGCGTTCCTTCGACTGGGAAATGACGAGCTAAGCACCACGACACAATATTTCGTCGCTCCTCTGACAAGCCCTCTTCTCCGTATAACTCTATGCTTTCCGCGGGTCATGCGGAGATAAAGATACGCCCTTTTGTCAGAGGCCCTACGATTTAAGTAAATTATCATGAGTAATCACGAAGGAAGGCTGAGCTAGGCGAAAAGACGCCGCTCAAAACTATGAATGCACCTGTGCAACTTCTGTCCGAAATTTCCCTAATTTTTGCATAGGATCTGAAGAAAAATCGATGAAATGATCAGTCAGGGATGCCCGAGATTTTCCCGTAGGAATGGAATTTGCTAGGGGAAATTTGGCAAAATTGGTCGGTTACGTTATTTCGTGGGGTTAACGCTCGATAATTTATCGATTGTTTTACATACATACATCGGGATGGACAAAACGGATTGCTGCTAGCTTGGAAGACAAGCTATTGTCGACCGCCGACAACGAGGCAGAAATGTTATCACACGCTCTATTTCCAAATAAGTCGCATTGGTGAAGCTCATGGACTTAATCATAATCATGACGACAACTGCGCTGCAGTTTAATCCAGCGCGGAATGCGAGAGAGGCTGCGCTCCGGCCGGTCGGCGCGGCGTTACCGCGTTACGTCAAGAAAGCTTTGTGAGGCCGTTATTAATGCGTCTCGGAGACGGAACCAACTGCGACGCTGTTAGAGCAACGAAGACGGCTCCAAGAAACTTTAGATAGGGGGACCGGTTGCTCGATGAACTTCCAGCGCGAGCAATTAAGGCATTAAACGGAGGAGAGAGAATATCTCCACGAGACCCCGATGAAAAAATCCGAGCTATGTAAACGACGGTGAATGAGAAGTTTGTTATTTTGTGAAGTTGTGGTTTGTGGTTCTCTGCGGGCTGGATGTTGAAATTGATAGATGAAGAAGACAAAAGGTAAAAAAGCGAACCTACTGGTGGAAACGGGTGGTGCAATGGACAGAAGAGATAAGGAATAGACTAACTAACGGAAACCCACGAGATACCTTGAAGTCAGTCTATCCTTTTCCATCTTAATTCATAACAACGGGTCCGTTTTACCAAAAAGGATAGCTCCATGTTCCCTATGTTTACTTTGCATATATAATTTCAATAATCAGCTCGCTAATTTGTTCTATCTGAACCTTCCTTCAAGAAGCGCCCCTTCAAATTTAAAATTCGACGAAATGAACATCAAAATTTGCAGTTTTAGTCAAAAATTTCTTGTCCGACCTCTACAGGACTCGATTCACTGTGCGCCGTCAACCGTGTCAAAGGGACTCCAGGAAGTCCGGGCCGGGAAAAAGCTAATTTGCCTTGATTTAAGGAAGTTGGGAACTTTTTCCCTGAGCGGGTACCCCACCAGAAATCGATTACCCAAGGTCGACGGTGCGTTCGGCCTGCAGCGAGGATTCGAGGAAGGAAGCAGGAAAGAGCATCTCGTTGCCGGTGGCCACCATCGAGGTGTTGCGTTAGGTTGCGCAAAGGCAAAGGCGAAGACGCGCGGAGGAAAGTGCGTGGTCCCCGATGGGGGAAGGGGGGGTGCGTGCGGGCGGAATGCGGCACGTCGCGCGGCGCGTCGCGGCGCCGACGGGGCAAGGGCGCTGGTTCCAACTGTGTCAAGGTATCACTTTCGTTGGCCCTCCGGCGCGGCACCGGCGCGGGACTGGGACTCGCTGCAACGCCGCAGTGGCCGCGCCCGGGACCGGTTGCCCGAGGATGGTGAATGGTGAGCGCCGAGCGGGCGACGCAACGCTGAGCCGCTTCTGGTAGGTGTCCGGGGAACGTGCCGTTCCGCGCGTCCGCACCGTCCCGACTCCTCAGGATGGAATGGAATGGAGGATCAAGTTCCAAATGGAGCCTTCGCTCATTCATCTGCAGGATGATTGTTCAAATTGATAGACAAAGCTATAGACAAAGCTCTAGACTAAGCTACAGACACAGATATAGACAAAACTACAGACGAAACTATAGACAAAACTATGGACAAAGTGATAAGGTGAC